GTGAAAATCCCACAAGTCGACATACTGGACATCGATAGTTTAAGTTTTGTACTGTACCGGCACACACTGACGGCAGATTACTTGAGATGTAGTTCAAAGTAATCTAAATGGAAGTTAAATTTGTTCTCCTATTGTGATTATTACCTCTAGTTTTTGAAGTCTTTTCTAACTTGATTTGCTGACCTTATTAGATTATGTTATGATTCGAACTTAGCCATTTTTAAATCAACACACCTCTCTAATAATCCAGCACATCTCTTAACATCAAACATCTTATGTACTGAATAATTTTAGAACGATTGTACTATTAACATTTAAAACATCGCTGTCGACTAAACCTTTGACATGTCTATGCTACTTAGTACCACTTCTGAGAGGTTTTCAATCATTGAAAAAGTAACTTCCTCTTTCATTAGTTACGCAGAAATTTTTCACACCTAAATCTCGTATGATAATTAACGGGTAAGTGTAGGCCAGGTTGAGGAAGTAGTGATAATATATTCATACATACTTATCAGCACCCAACATTCGCCATATTTCTTGACCTGCAAGTAGCATTCGACTCCGTCGAACAAAAGGTACTGTTACAGTGTTTGGTCGTGAAAGTATATCGTACTAATCAGGACACTACTCGAGCTAACGCAGGAGCTTATGGAAAGTTTTCATTTGAAGTGATTACTATTGGTATCCTCCATGAATGTACCCACTGTTTTTTTTAAATGGCATTACAGGATTACTACCGGAGGTGATGTTTGGTGAATTCTATGTCACAGGGGTGTACTAATTACCAGGAAAAGTGTCAGTGATGTACGACATGCAGATAATACAATGTTTCTTCCAGGTGGAGACGTGGAAAAAATGCAGACTCCTCCAAATATCTTAAGCGAAAATCTTAGAACGTTTGTCATGTGGTTCACTCCTATCACACATAAGATGACGCTGTAAGATTGGCCTGCACTGACTTCCAGCTTAAAGATAAGGAGTTGCATCAGACCAAACATAAGAAGCTGGTGTGGCGTTCGCCAGCTTATACCATCTCTGGCGAAGATAACATACCTAACTATGGATCGTCTTCCCAGACGAGCGATGTTAGCCGACATAGGATTAGACTGGAAAGGAGTTAAGGGTAGTCAAACCAAAACCTGGAGCAGTCTATGAGGTCGTTGGCAGTTGGTTTGAGGTAGTGACGTAGGGAAATGCAAGCTACCTGGTTTAGATCCTTGGGATGCTAAGACCTCATTCCTGGAAACTATTTGTGGTATGGCTCATGGCCGTTCTCAGTAACACATGCATTCACTCTTTGTGATTTGCCATTTCCACTATTATTATTATTGCTCATATTTACATTCATTGTAGTCCCTTGAACCTCCTTATGTCCTTTCTTCTGTCTTATTTGTGTGTTATATGGAGTGTGGCAACTTGGACTGCCGAACCGCCGTGCTTAGTCCCATGCTGAAATTCAGTTTGTTGGTTAGAAAACCTACTTCTAAAAAATGTACACCACATTTGAGCTCCGGATCTGCAAACTACGCTAACGATTTGAGCTCACAAGATAGGATATCTAGTTCTATAAAGCGTCATTCACCATGTTTTAAAACTTACATTGTCTACACATTTTCTTGAAGGAGTTATAGAAACCTCCTTAACCAAAACGTTAAGACCCTCATCACCAATATTTGCTGCATCTAAAATACGTACATGATTCAATTTCCGCTAAGCGATTGTATCCTAAAACTCCTTATTACTTTCAACCTGATATGCTAATGTGAAGTTTAGTCACTGCGCACTACCGCAAGATTCTGTTGATAATATACCATATTTCATAACTGCCCTTCCTTTTACAGACCACGAAAAACGCTACTGCTTAAGGTCACTACCGATATAGAGATTATAGTGATACATATGAGCGTTCACGGAAACATCGAGAAAGCGACTAGGGTTAGATTACGACGAAAGAGATGTGGATAGATACCGGCATCGACACGGTGGAAAAAAGAGATCGAGATAACCGAAGACATGAACGCAACCACAGCGAAGAAAGGTAGGAGCGTCGTACACGTCCTAGCAGTGCTGCAAGTAAAACCGAGACAGAGGTTGTGAATTATGTGGAAGGTAATCGATTTTCGTTATATAACCACTTTATTTTTCAGAATCACCGATAGAACCTATAACTGAGGAAGCAGCAGAGATGATGCGCACAATCGGCTTCTGCAGTTTCAATGCAATTAGAGGAAAGCATGACGTTGGCAACAGTATCTACGGTGCAAATAATGCAAAACAGAGCAAGTACCGTTAGTACGTGAACCGGCGAGGAGGTTTTAATTGACCTCTTGACCCAGTTGCTTAAATATTGTAATAATTGTGTCTAATAAAATACTATTTGCGTCTCAAAACACACCAGTTAAATCAAAAATGTTCTCAATAAAAAGATTTCTGTTTAATAAAATTCTAACATATTTTGTAAGTATTGAACTTTATAGGCGTAATAACCTTGCTCTATGTGGCGCTTGGTCACTGTTCACTATAGAGATTAACGCTGGAAAAGATAGAAACATTGAAGCGTTTGCTGTTCGATGTTTGATACGCTGTGTTTAGAATGAGCTGACTTTGACTGTCATTATTTTCGTCGGATTGACTTCATTGCAACTAACTGGTTCTAATCGGAATCACCGTGTAGATGTTTATCTTAATTCTGTCAACTTCCATTCCATCTAGTCAGAGCCGTTTTTATTTTGCGGCGAACGAGAAAAAGAGGGAAGTTGACAAGACGTCAATCGTTATTCGTCAACGTACCGCGACCCAAAAAAACTACGTCTGCTATTCACATTATCTGCGGTGTAGAACTACCTAGAAAACATGATGTAGACACCAAGAAGACAGTGCACTGACGTCTAACAGACATTTTGTTGACATCAGTACTGATGAAAAAGTTCTTAGCATGTGCAGTCGCGAACACTACTATATCTGCTGTATGCCAGTTCATTACACTAAATGACTCCCCATACCATGTGAACTTTGTACTAACTAATTGAAGGTCAGATAGATAGAATGTTATGCCAACACAACACCTTCGTGACCATTAAGACGAATTTTCGTCTCCTTTCCGCTGAAATTGTCTACAAACTGAGGTATATACATTTGAGAAATCAAATCATAAGCCGATTACTACCACAAGTTACCTTTTTACACTTTATGTACAAAATCTACATGAAGGCTTCACCGTTAAGATTCCAATCACGACAAACATTATCACACCAACACTGCAGCATGCAATGCAATTTAAAAAATCGTCATAAAACTTAATCTTCTGATGGCGAATCATCATCGGATTCTACATTATACAGTCTTAATACCCGATTAATAATCTTATTAATAAATATTATTGGAGGTGGTCCATGCATTGACTTCAAAAAGTGAGCGACACATTCATTGTTTGTTAGTTCACTGAGAGTAGGTTCAACATTTGCCATAAGACGCAGGAGTACTAGAGCCATTAGCTGACTTTCAGAAGGGTTCAAGTGTACATTTTTGCTAGTTAAACTAAAACCAAAAAAGACAAACAAAGAGTAGTATTGATAATCAAACGAGATGTTATTGGCATGTTGGAACATTTTTAAACTTGCACCGTAATGCGACTGTACATCAGTGTAAAAAGTTATTACTGCATATATTGCGAACTGAGTTCCATTGTAGGTGTACCTAATAAGGTGGTCCAGTGTGACTGTGACCAACTCAGCTTCGTGACAATAGTAGTCGGTGTCCCAACTTAGATGTTTCAAGTTTATAGTTTAGCCAACATTCCCAAGGTAAACTGCAGAGGCACTAGTGATTCATTCTACAACTTCGAACTGTGTGTGCAGAAAAGGTTTCTATGGTCTCTTTTTCCACCACGGTCTTAATCCCCTCATTACTTGTTCACTTCAAACTAGTCACCACTATATGTTCCTTTTGTATATTTTACTGAGTTTTTTCTCTCTTTTAACACTTGGAAAGTGGACAATCAACTGCCTTACTTTTCATCGAATAACAGTTTTCACCTAGTCAAATTTGAGGCCCTTATCTCCATTGTGCCGTTGGCTATTACGTAATTTCTTTTTGTCTTAAGGAATCACTTCTTAGTTTATAGTTGTACCAATGATATCACCCCGACCACCGTACTACTTAGTAATAGAATACGTTCTTGGTAAATGTAAATACCACTGTACATCCTCTGAAGATGATTCCGTCAGTTAAAAAAATGTTCTTTGCTGCAGTCTTTTATTTTCTTCATGAATAAATGGATATTTTCCACCCTATAAAGTTATGCGCTTAACTTCAATATCGAGAGTTATATAAACCTATTTTTCAGGAAGAGTAAGGATGTTACACGCAGAAGCATGTTAACTGTAGAAGTTCATTTTAATAGTCGTGCATAGTTTCAAAACTTTAAACCTACATAAAACAGGAGTTGATGGAGCTTAATAGTCGCTCTCTTTATTAGACTCGAAAGAGCGTTATGGTCCATTGATTTACGAAATTTATTTCAAATGACCAGTGTCAGATTTGAACGAAATTTCATTTATTTCTGGTTAATACATCTTTAGAAGAAACCAAACGCAGTTCATTTCATCACCATTAACACACTCCTTGAAATCTGCATTGTTCATATCATGGACGCACTTTCTTTCAGAAATGTTTTGACAAAATATCAAATATCCGGGTCCACGTTTCTCAGGGAACTCCTAAATATTAAGATCATTTTGTTGACATCAGTACTGATGAAAAAGTTCTTAGCATGTGCAGTCGCGAACACTACTATATCTGCTGTATGCCAGTTCATTACACTAAATGACTCCCCATATCATGTGAACTTTGTACTAACTAATTGAAGGTCAGATAGATAGAGTGTTATGCCAACACAACACCTTTTTGACCATTAAGACGAATTTTTGTCTCCTTTCCGCTGAAATTGTCTACAAACTGAGCTATATACATTTGAGAAATCAAATCATAAGCCGATTACTACCACAAGTTACCTTTTTACACTTTATGTACAAAATCTACATGAAGGCTTCACCGTTAAGATTCCAATCACGACAAACATTATCACATCAACACTGCAGCATGCAATGCAATTTAAAAAATCGTCATAAAACTTAATCTTCTGATGGCGAATCATCATCGGATTCTACATTATACAGTCTTAATACCCGATTAATAATCTTATTAATAAATATTATTGGAGGTGGTCCATGCATTGACTTCAAAAAGTGAGCGACACATTCATTGTTTGTTAGTTCACTGAGAGTAGGTTCAACATTTGCCATAAGACGCAGGAGTACTAGAGCCATTAGCTGACTTTCAGAAGGGTTCAAGTGTACATTTTTGCAAGTTAAACTAAAACCAAAAAAGACAAACAAAGAGTAGTATTGATAATCAAACGAGATGTTATTGGCATGTTGGAACATTTTTAAACTTGCACCGTAATGCGACTGTACATCAGTGTAAAAAGTCTATTACTGCATATATTGCGAACTGAGTTCCGTTGTAGGTGTACCTAATAAGGTGGTCCAGTGTGACTGTGACCAACTCAGCTTCGTGACAATAGTAGTCGGTGTCCCAACTTAGATGTTTCAAGTTTATAGTTTAGCCAACATTCCCAAGGTAAACTGCAGAGGCACTAGTGATTCATTCTACAACATCGAACTGTGTGTGCAGAAAAGGTTTCTATGGTCTCTTTTTCTACCATGGTCTTAATCCCCTCATTACTTGTTCACTTCAAACTAGTCACCACTATATGTTCCTTTTGTACATTTTACTGAGTTTTTTCTCTCTTTTAACACTTGGAAAGTGGACAATCAACTGCCTTACTTTTCATCGAATAACAGTTTTCACCTAGTCAAATTTGAGGCCCTTATCTCCATTGTGTCGTTGGCTATTACGTAATTTCTTTTTGTCTTAAGGAATCACTTCTTAGTTTATAGTTGTACCAATGATATCACCCCGACCACCGTACTACTTAGTAATAGAATACGTTCTTGGAAAATGTAAATACCACTGTACATCCTTTGAAGATGATTCCGTCAGTTAGAGAAAATGTTCTTTGCTGCAGTCTTTTATTTTCTTCATGAATAAATGGATATTTTCCACCCTATAAAGTTATGCGCTTAACTTCAATATCGAGAGTTATACAAACCTATTTTTTCAGGAAGAGTAAGATGTTACACGCAGAAGCATGTTAACTGTAGAAGTTCATTTTAATAGTCGTGCATAGTTCCAAAACTTTAAACCTACATAAAACAGGAGTTGATGGAGCTTAATAGTCGCTCTCTTTATTAGACTCGAAAGAGCGTTATGGTCCATTGATTTACGAAATTTATTTCAAATGACCAGTGTCAGATTTGAACGAAATTTCATTCATTTCTGGTTAATACATCTTTAGAAGATACCAAACGCGGTTCATTTCACCACCATTAACACACTCCTTGAAATCTGCATTGTTCATATCATGGACGCACTTTCTTTCAGAAATGTTTTGACAAAATATCCGGGTCCACGTTTCTCAGGGAACTCCTAAATATTAAGATCATTTGACAAATCGTCTAGGATAAATTTCACTCTTGATCACTGCAATTTTATTCATCACTGACTCATTTAGTTCTCTGATGTTCAGTGTGCTGTTCCTACCTAACATTTACTCTCTAAACGTATTTTTGAGTATAGACCAACTTGATTTCCTCGAAAAAATGATACAAGTTCAGTTTTGGTTTGACAGCATTTAGTCGATCCTGATCACTAACTAAAAGAAGTACTCCGACCACTTTGAACCGAAAAACAATAATATAATGATGTCATTAGAAAGAAGGATTAATTGAATGTTTCCTTGTTTACAAATGGATATATGCAGAAATACTAACGATGTTCACTGACAATTGCAGTTTTTGTATATGTTATTACTACCAAAGAATAAAAAAATAGGTAACAATCGACTCAAAACATATAATAGTAGAAAACCCACTTGAAATGAAGAACAGAATTTTCTAATCTTCGGTATGCACAATAGGGATTTACTCGCAAAACAGATAATATCCGATGCATACTGTTAAGGTAAGAGAAATAAATACATGATATTTAAGATCTATTGGGAATAAATTTATTACTATAAGTATAGCTGGAGCGTCATCACTGGTGAAACGACGTACATGGTCAGCGTTCTATTCCCGACCGACGCATTCACTCCTTTCAACCAACAATTGATTGAGTGATACTTAGATAGCTTCTACGTTATTACATAGTAAGGTGACATCGTCTGCATACTCAAGACTGAATAGTCTTCCTCCAGATAGCATATCTGCGCCACGAAGCTACTCATATGCTTCAGAATCACCCCTTGAATGTTGCCCATGGGAAAATTCGGCAGATAAAGCGAAAATTAGCAATCCTGCCTAACGCTGCTGTCAGTTGAGATGATGGTATACTCTGACTTTACCTAAAGTAATTTCCTACGGGACTTTCAAGATGTCAACTAAATTTTCAGGGCATCACTCTTTAGCAGACAGTTTTAAATACAGCTCCATCCAACAAGCTGAAAGTAGTCACTATATTAAAACAATGCAACTGGTAGAGGCTGAATACGCCAATGCATACACTATCTAAACGAAGGTATTTTGTTTTCATTCCATTGCTTCTCCAGTGAAACATAGGGATTCAAGTTTGAGTTTATTTATTATTTATTCAAACGCAAAAAAAACTTGATGCAATGTGGCACCAAGAAAGATGCGCCACACAATAATAATAAAACAACATAGATCAAAAGTCAAAAAAAGAAAATAAAATATAAGTAGAGAACGGATAAAGAAATTCATCTGGAAGGAAAACAGTCACGCTTGACAAGTTTAAACAGTATTCGTCAGTTATCATCGGGAAGGGAAGAAAGAAGGAAATCGCAACACGTTCCCCATTAATTACAATTCTTGGCCATATCCGATAACGTTTCGAGCTATCTCGCGGACCCCAACCAGGGAGTCTTGACGCACCAACCGATGCTAATCTAGCACAAAAATCCTTCATCCCACGACGCCACGTCATGGACTGACCACCTCTCCGCCTTTTCCATCCCGTCCCAGGGCTAGCGAACAGAGACCTGTACGGAAGCCTCTGGGATGACATTCGCAGCACATGTCCAAGCCACTGGAGCCGGTGTTTTCAGATGACGACACTCAATGAATGGGGATCTCCACCGTGTTGAAACACATGCCGCCGAACCTTAGAATTACTCACGCGATGATGCCATCCATCGAACGCAAGCAATCCTGTGGAGACAGCGGTGATCGAACACGCAGAGTTGCCGCACATCCTACTAGCTTTCTAGTTCTCTAGCTGGTCCGAAGCTCGGGTAAAAAGAGACGTAGCTAGCCACCCCACACTACAAAACCAATCAAACTGCTGCAGAAACTTCAACACACAAAAAGTATATTACAAAGACAAAAAATTTAAAATCAAACTTATTCTTCGCTGAAATCGGAAAGGGGAAATGACACAGTGAGCTGTTGAAAGCCTTCGGGAAGCCAGTCAGCCAGCCGATGTGCCTTCTTTCGATGGAAGCAAGAATAAGAATGGAGACTTGGAATGTACGAGGCTGGAAAGGCTGTTCAGGTAGCAAAATAAATGCAAAGATACGGTATAGAAGTGCTGGGAATCTGCGAGAGAAGATGGAGTGGATGCGGATTGTCAAACTTGTCAACTGGAGAGTCAGTAATCTACTCCAGTCACCCAGACGACAACCACGAGAACACTGAGGCAGTGAGTGGCCATAATGATGTCGCCAGCGGCAGCCAAAGACGTAATGAAGTGGGAACCAATTTCATCCTGCATGATGATGACAGCAAGATTCAACTCAAAAGCAAGGAAGGTCACAATTATCCAATGCTACGCACAGTACTACAAACAACGCGGAACAAGAGAAGAAGAAAGATTTTTATAGACAATTACAAACAGTAATGGACAACACTCCGAATGACAACATCAAAATCATTATGAGCGATATGAATGCCAGCCGAACATGGAGCAGATAATACAAGAAGAAAATTTATCATGAATCGAGAGGCTCTCATTTGGCGAAATGAATGAGAACGGAGAATTATTCGCAGACTTCTGCGCTTTCAATGATTTGGTAATCGGAGGCAGCATGCACAATCACAAGGATATACACAAAGCAACATGGGTTTCGCCTGACGGACACACCATGAACCAGATAGATTTCATCTCAATCTTAAGGAAGTGCAGACTCAGCCAGTCTGTTGCACACAAAGTCGGGAAGAGGAGCAGATGTGGGCTCAGACCATCATCTAGTTCAAGGAACCTTCAAGGTGAAGCTGAAATCCATGAAAACAAATGAAGACAGACCACAATTCAAGTTCAACATTCAGAAAGTGAAGGACAAAACTACAAGGGATGCCTTCGCTACAGATATCAGAGCAAAGTAGGATACACTTAGTGGCATCACTGAGGAAACCTGTGTGGAAGAACATTGGAAATCTCTGAAAGCGCTATTTAAGGAAACGTGTACAACTGTTCTAGGAAGAAGGAAGGGACAAGACAAGGAATGACTCTCGAAGGACACCTACCTGGTAGCTAATCGAGGAGAGGAGGATGGTGAAAGAGAAGATGACTCAATGCAAAGATGAGCAAGAGAGGGAAGGGGAAGCTGAGTTCAATGTACACTGCACTGAATAAAGAAGTGAAGTGTACTAGGAACGACAGAAGACAACTACACGAAACACTGACCGGCAACTGAAGCAGAACAGGCACGTCACAGGCAAAAGAGGCCCAGAATATTATATTGGATAACCAGGCTGCTCGTTATCCGGGAAGAGATCAACCCAGATGATGAGACCGATAAAATATATTCAAGGGGACTTGATTACCAAGGAGGAGAAACAAATAAAACAATTGGCTGACCACTTTAGAGGACTCTTGAATCGCCCACCACCAGCAATCGTCCAGAAACACCATCACGATCAGCTCTAATAGAACTGCCAGCGGATGCCGATCCTTCAAAGATAGCAAGAATCGTGAATGTGACTAAGCTACTAAATAGCGACAGAGAAGCCAGCCGCGCCAGATAGAATTCCTCCACACCGAATCACTGGAGACGGACCCAGAGACTGCGGCAGATGTCCTCATGCCATTATTGCGAAAGTTTGGAAGGAAATAAATGTGTCTACCGATTGGACGAAAGACTGACTACCTTGTCAGGCCAACAAAGAAGGGCGACCTAGTCAGATCTCTGAAAGAACTGGCGTGGAATAATACACTTGCCAACGACAAGGAAAATACTTTATCGTGTCAACCTGGAGAGAATAAAAGATATATTGGATGCAAATCCACCCCACACACCCACACAGAACAAGCTGGAGTCAGGAAAGGAAAATCACGTGCTGATCAAATTACAACTCTACCCATCATCGTCGAACAAAGCACAGAATGTCAGTCAAACCTCTACCTTAACTTCGTCGACTTCGAAAAGGCTTTCGACAAACAGTGTTGACCGAGAAGTAATTTCGAAACTGCTTCAACACTACAACATGCAGTCCCCAAATCTGTATCAACCCCATTCAATAGCTGGCTATATGACAATGCCACGTGTCAACTGATCAACAACGGAAAACTCAGCGAGGCGTTCGAAGTGAATACAGAAGTAAGACAAGCTGGCTGCCTATTATCACCAACGATGCTATTCTAAATTGTGGTCGACTGGATTGTGCGTCAGACTGTACGTTGGGAGTGAGAAGACAGGAATACACTGGACCACCGATAAAAAGACTGACTCTAGAAGATCTGGATTTGGCGTCTGGATGATTTATGTCTAATGTCACATAAACTCGAAGACTTGCAGGAGAAAACTGGCAAATCGGCTGAAGAGACTGGCAGCGAAGACAGGACTCCAGGTGGACATAGAGGAGACAGAGGTGATGACGATAACCAACCAACATTAACAACAACAACAACAACAACCAGCACCAACTACCATCATCAACGGGACAGATTTGAAAGAGGTCACTTCCTCCACTTACCCAGCTAGGAAGCACCGTTTCAACCACAGGTGGAAGAACGGATGAAGATGTCAAAGCAGGCCAGAGTCCGAAAGGCAAGATGCGCCTTCATCAACCTGAAACCAGTTTGGAAATCTTATGCACTCTACTCGTCTCAGAATAAGGAATAGGATTCGAATTCTCAACACAAATGTCAAGTCGGTCACTTCTTTTATGTGGGTAAGAAGAAATTTGCACTGCGTGTCACGAAAAGGATTTCCAACAAGTTACAGACTTTCATCAACAGCTGTCCGCTTCGCTGGCTCCATACTGAAAATCAAATGACCAGCCGGCCAGAAAGAATTACCAACAATAAACTCTGGCTGGGAACAAGCCAACCAAGAGCGGATCACTCAACAAATAAGTAGGAGATGATGAAGAAGGATCATGCATACATTGAGGAGACCGTCAAATGACATCGCAACGAGTGGGTCGTCCTAGGGTGACATGGAGGAGACTGTGAGAACAGGAGATGAGAGATTACGGGCAATCGTGGATCCAGGTGGAGAGGACAGTACCAAATAGAAGAAAGTGGAGATGTGTTCTTGATGCCCTATGTTCCACTCGGAACCCAAGGGAATAATAATAATAAATGAAAAAAGAATATTAAAAAACATACCTGTGTTTAAGATCATCCAAAAGGATTTGTCTTCTAAGAACCTGAGGTGAAACGGAATCAATTAACGGCAGTACACAAGTAAGTGGCACCTGAAAAAAAAACAGAAAAATCATGGTAGGCGTTTGGATTGTTAATAAATGAACGAAGGGTTTATTTCAATAAAATCAGGGCTCTATGATAGTACGCAAATTCATACTAATCAACAGCTTAGGCACAAAATTCACTAACTTTGACAAGTATGCATATAAATTCGGTATAATTTACCCAGTTGATTGCAATAATTTCCTGCAAGCTTCTCTCAGATGAAAACTGGTCAGTGCCTTTTTAAATTAACTTCAAGATCTATAGTCGTTTCTACGACTACGATATTGGATTACATCGACTCCTAGCTTAAAGATAGGAAGTGAAATGGTAGAACATGCGGAACGTTTCACTTATTTAGAAAGTTGCATCAACCCTAAAGGGGTGACTGCTTACAAAATCTCAGCACGAACACAAACGGCTCATGTAGCATTTGTAAAATTACATCATCTCTAGCATAGTGGTGACATCCGGTTATCAATCAAAGGACATGTGTACTGCACATCAGTTCTCTCTATCGACCTTTGTGGTAATGAGACATGGCGATTGAAAGTGGAAGCTGTGAGAACGCTAGTTATCTTTGATCATTTGTGTCTGAGTTTTACCTCCTGTGTTAGGTGGTATAATACGGTATGTAATATTGAGGTCAGGCGTCGAGTGTTCGGTAGGGAGGGAGAGTCAGTAGACGAGGTTGTGAAGGTGTAACAACAGAAGACAAGGGCTGGCAACAGATCGTTTTATTACGAAAATCAACACGTATTTATATATATTTCCTGTACATTATTATAGCTTATGCAGGTAGACAAGCGCAGTCCTCTGATTGGTTGTTTCAGGATTACTCGAAAAATAGAGTTATCTGTCTGCGAATCATATTTTGCCACGTTAAGTCTGCTGTGATTGGTTGTTGAATCAGCCTTGTACATATTTTCTCACGGCCTGCTCTCACCACAAAGGTACCTTGACTTAAGTAGCTAGGACACGTGTTTCACTCATGACCAATTATCGCCTTCCTCGACGCCCAATGTTAGCTGACATAGGATGAGGTTGGAGAAAGAACTGGTGGTGGTCGAATAAAAAACTTGGAATGAACCAATGAAATCTTTAGCATTTAGTTTGGGCCAAGTAGGGTGGTGTAGATTGCTTGGTTGTGATCCTCGGTATTCCACGAATCCTTGACTTGAAACAATCGGTGATATGGCTCATAATCGTTCCTCAATGCCTCAGATGTATTCACTCTTTGTGATCTGCCATATCCATAAAAACCCATTGTGTTCCTCCTTTATTACTATTCTTTTTCCCTCACATTTCTGGTTATTATCGTATTTTCGAATCACTTTTTCTCTTCCCTTATATATGCTGCATAGCATGTGGCCAGTTGAACTGCTCCACTTCTGCGCGAAAATCCATGTTGAAACTAGTCAGTCAGTCAGTCATTCAATCAAGAGAAAAGATAACCAAAGTAGAAATGCGTTCTAAAAAAAATAAACATAATTACAACTTACTTCGGACACAGGATTATTATTTTCCCGGTTTTTCTTTTTTGATAAATTATATTTAGAGTAAAACTGTTGTAGAACTCTGTTGTGCACTTCACTTGTCAAAGTGGACTGTTCAGTTGTAAACGAATAAGTGGTAAGTATATCAAGAGCTTTTTCAGTTAGCCATTCACATAAACGTCTTGAAATTCTATCACTCAAAGGAGTCGGTACAGTTGATGCATTACTGTTAGAGTCATTACTACTATTATTATGATCCACTAAAACTTGTTTGGAATCGAATGAAGTGATAGATGTCTCTGTTTGATTATTTTCACAAACAGCTTTTGATTCAATAGGACCAATTGTACGCTGATGAATATCACCAATTTGTAAATTATTTTTAGCATTCATTTCAAGCTGAAGTTTCTCAAGACCTAGACGTGTACACTCAATCGTACTGTTGGATAACTTAGATGAGTTCAATTCATCAAGCATATCTGATTCATTCTCAACACTGGAATCGCTTTCAGATCCCGTCAAAAGTAAACGATTTGGAACGTCTAAAATTACTTTACCAACATGTCCTGATGCATTCCGAGGTAAAAGATCAATATTACAAGATTTCAGACTGTCAACTGAACGACACCAAGCTGGCTCTTTCGAAATTTGTTTACGTATATGCCTTGAAGCACGAAAACACCAATCTGAACAAAATGGCTGTAATTAACGAAAAAAAATTGTATAGTTTATTAAGCGTTATGAAGGTGATGAATACCTTTTACAGAGCGTAAAAATAATACAGGTTTCAAAATATGTGTGGGAAATTAAAAACCTACTTTTATTTTCAGCATAATTTCCACGAAATATACCAAGCAGTAATACAGCTGAAGAATACTTTAAAACAGATATTCATTTCTTTTTCACTGCAAAGTGTGAAAAAATACTAGGGGTCAGGCCACAATTGATTCCTTGTAAGACTGGTTCTTGCACATGGAAAGATTATCAGATGGTGAGCAACGCAGCTATCTAGTTTCTAATTAATATTTGCGAATAAAATTAAATGCTTGCCTTGTAAGTGAATCTATAAAGAACAACTGAAACCAAGTAGAGTAGTAAGTTTGACGCGATACAATAGACAATAGTCTATATTATGCATAGATTCTTTACAGGGTAGGCTAATAATCTTCCATCTATTTATTTAAGCTATTGATATTCACTCTGTAAAAATGTTACTACTCTCCGAAATGAAGTGTTTAAAGCCTACTGCGATAAACCATGTGGATATGTAACCATGCCAATTCAATCACGTTTGACCTACAGTTATATAACTTATGGTTTTTCTGGGTTGGTTTCAATGTAGATTTTATCACGAACCGATAATAGCTAGAGATCATTGGAAATCAACACTGAATTCCTGTCCAGGTGTCTGAATGGTCAGAGACCTTGGTGTTGTAAACTAAAGGTCCCGGTCCCGATACCTGGTAGAGTCGCGAGTGTGCACTACTAAAAAAACCAAAGTAGGTCAAAAGAGATGTCCAGTGATATCCCTTTTTTTTCAAAGCTTCCTATCTGTCTGTCTGTCTCTTTTCGACGTAGAACTTTGCACAAATGTGCGGAAGTTCAAGTCGCCACACTCCCTCCTTGTAGCACACAAAGCAAGAGAAGAAAGTACAAGAATAGCATAATACAGACATTAAGCAGAGGTGTGAGACAAAGGAAGAGTAATAACGAAGAACAATATAGTTTCATTGGAAATCATAAGTCACAAGGAGTGGATGCATCTGCGCCGGCCATTGAGAACAATTTTGACCCATATCACCAATTGTCTCCAGCCACTGGTTTTTACCGTCCCGAGGACCCCAACCCGGAAGTCTACACCTTCCTACGTGGCTTAAACTAACTGTTGTAGATTTCATTGACTGGTAAAGCCATGTTTTTGTTTGACCGCCGCTAGCTTTTTTCCAGTCTGACCCTATGTCAGCTAACATTGCCCGTCGATGAAGGCGATGACTAGGCTAGGCATGCGTAACACACGTTTTAACCATCTCAGTCGATGTAACTTCACAGACCCGTCGATTGATTTCCCCTGTTTACCTAGCACTCGACGGAGACCTAACATCAATATTGCTCACCTTATTATACCACTTCACATGGGAGATAGAACGCAGGCACCTATGATCAAAGACAGCTAATCTTTTCATGTCTTCCACTCTCAGTGGCCAGGTCTCACAACCATAAAGGAGGACGGAGCGAACTGATGAGCAGTACACCCGCCCTTTGATCGATAGTCGAACATCTCGTCTACGCCAGAGTCGGCGTAAACTAACAAATGCGAAACGAGCCCCCTGTATTCGTGCTGAGATTCCGTCAGAGATCAACCCGTTGGCACTGATTGATGGTACTTCCCAAATAAGAGAAGCGGTCAACGTGCTCTACCACTTCACTTCCTGTTTTTAAACTAGGAGTCGATGTAGTCCAGTCCTGTAACATCATCTTGCATTTGGCGGGAGCGAACCGCATGCCAAACATTCGTAGGTTGCAGCTTAAGGTGTTTAGAAGACTCTGAATTTTTTCAGCGTCCTCGCCTAGTAGGACTATATCGTCTGCATATTCTAAGTCAACGAGATTATTCCGTGGTAGCAAGTCAGTCCCTGAGTCGCTGAAGTCACTTAGGGTTAAGTCCATTAGTACATGTATGATGAAGTTGAATAGAAAAGGGGATAATGGGCATCCTTGACGGACACCACTAGTCGTCACCAGTTCAGATGGCAACTTGCCGTAAGCCCTCACCTGGCTGTATGAGTACGAGTTGAGTGCCTTAATCAGTGCAATGTATTTTCTCGGTATTCCCTTTACAGCCAAGCACCTCCAGAGAACCTCCCGGTGGACACAATCGAATGCCGCCTTTAAGTCAAGAAATATAATGATTGTTGGACGCCGATTTATTTATTTGTTTTTAATTCAGTTTTGACCCAAGTAGTTTAGTGAATAAACTTTGGCGTTTGAGACGATGGGTAGTGGGTTCGAGTCCTAATGTGAACACCACCACTCGTTGTGAGTGTAACTGATATGTGCCCCAAATAGGACGAAATGCACATCCTGGACTTTACTACTAGTCACCAGCCACCAAATCACCTCTAACTCATATTGGTTTGTGACGAAACCTACATTGGAATTATACCTACAGCTACAGTTTAATTATATATAAAATATATATATATACATTCACTGATTATAATTTCTTCTGTTGTTTGCAACAACTCAAAAAATGTGTTGACACTTTATGGTTATCCTGTCACTCGTATTTTCAATGAATCGTCTTCCAATAACACTGTGTCTGCTTCTTGGAAGGACATTCAAATTGTTCCTGTGCCTAAATCATCAAGTAGACCAAGCGTTAAGTTCAGACGTGATGCCATTACTTCACCGTTTATAAAATTAATGGAAAAACTGCTTTTACTCAACCATGAAGTTTCATTGAAGGCTTTTAACGACCCTAACCAATACGCTTATAAACATAGTATGTGTACTTTAGATACCACCGTCATCTTATATTATAATATTGTCTCTAGTTCAGACAGAGGTGTCATATATGTTCACTGTGCCTTCTTAGATTACACAACTGACTCTGTACCCTGACCTATTTTGTTAAACAAGCTTGCTGCGTCACAAACACAGTGCTGGATTACTAATTGGTTTCATTTCTATTTTTCTGATACGAAGCAGTACACTTTTTACAATCAGAATTCCTCCACTGCTTCACTTACTCTCACTGGTGTTCCTCAACGAGCTCTCCTTTTTCCTTTTCTGTTTTCTTTCTTCTTACACGACTTGCGTGCCCCATTCTGACGAAGCTAATTTTGTTAGATATGCCAATGATCTGACTGTTCCTAAGCCTGTTACTTCTCAGTCGGACTGTTCCAAAATGAATAACTTTTTATCAGAAATTAGTCAGTGGTCCAAGTCAAATGGTTTTAAGCTTAATCCGAAATCCAGCTGGCTTATTTCACTTACAGATGCAAGCGCGACTCACGTGAACTGGTTAGTTAGCACAGTTCCACTGTCGTAAATGACACAGGGGTTGGGACTTAATCGAATGTTAAATACCTTGGACTGTGTATTTCCTCTGATCTTTCTTGGTCTTCCCACATCATGTTAATTCCCAGAAAGATATTTCGCTTAACATTCTATGTCAGCAAGTTAAGAAGGTCTGATGTCACTCCATCTCTACTTACTAAGTTTGTTAATTTCTTGTATTTTGCCTATCCTTCTTTACTGCTCCCTCCATCTTATTCTTTCCCGGGCTACTTAAAAAAGAGTTTGTTACGCTGTGAAAAGCACTAAAAGCTGTCAGTTGGGTGAGTGGAATTTTTCTAAGCTAACTCGTTATTACTGTTTTAGATAGACACATGGACTCTTGCAAAAGTTAGCAAATATTATTTTGTCAGATTCTGAGCATCCTCTCTATACACAACTCTCTGCTTGCATCTCATCGGGTAGAACTAGAAGCAAATATAGAAGACTATATGCTCGGACGATCAGGTACAGAAACTCTACAATACCTTATTTAGCAAACATTTTATGTGATGAGAAAAGTGTAAGGCAGGAAATTACCATCTTACTAAGGAACTCTAAGTAGACGGCCCCATTTTTTCATTGTTACATTGTTATTAATATTTTCACTTAATTTTTTTATTCATTTTCTTATTGAATAATATTATCAGTGTAAATACCATGTGCTAATCTCGCCCAGTTTACTAGCTTTCTAGTTCTCTAGCTGGTCCGAAGCTCGGGTAAAAAGAGACGTAGCTAGCCACCCCACACTACAAAACCAATCAAACTGCTGCAGAAACTTCAACACACAAAAAGTATATTACAAAGACAAAAAATTTAAAATCAAACTTATTCTTCGCTGAAATCGGAAAGGGGAAATGACACAGTGAGCTGTTGAAAGCCTTCGGGAAGCCAGTCAGCCAGCCGATGTGCCTTCTTTCGATGGAAGCAAGAATAAGAATGGAGACTTGGAATGTACGAGGCTGGAAAGGCTGTTCAGGTAGCAAAATAAATGCAAAGATACGGTATAGAAGTGCTGGGAATCTGCGAGAGAAGATGGAGTGGATGCGGATTGTCAAACTTGTCAACTGGAGAGTCAGTAATCTACTCCAGTCACCCAGACGACAACCACGAGAACACTGAGGCAGTGAGTGGCCATAATGATGTCGCCAGCGGCAGCCAAAGACGTAATGAAGTGGGAACCAATTTCATCCTGCATGATGATGACAGCAAGATTCAACTCAAAAGCAAGGAAGGTCACAATTATCCAATGCTACGCACAGTACTACAAACAACGCGGAACAAGAGAAGAAGAAAGATTTTTATAGACAATTACAAACAGTAATGGACAACACTCCGAATGACAACATCAAAATCATTATGAGCGATATGAATGCCAGCCGAACATGGAGCAGATAATACAAGAAGAAAATTTATCATGAATCGAGAGGCTCTCATTTGGCGAAATGAATGAGAACGGAGAATTATTCGCAGACTTCTGCGCTTTCAATGATTTGGTAATCGGAGGCAGCATGCACAATCACAAGGATATACACAAAGCAACATGGGTTTCGCCTGACGGACACACCATGAACCAGATAGATTTCATCTCAATCTTAAGGAAGTGCAGACTCAGCCAGTCTGTTGCACACAAAGTCGGGAGAGGAGCAGATGTGGGCTCAGACCATCATCTAGTTCAAGGAACCTTCAAGGTGAAGCTGAAATCCATGAAAACAAATGAAGACAGACCACAATTCAAGTTCAACATTCAGAAAGTGAAGGACAAAACTACAAGGGATGCCTTCGCTACAGATATCAGAGCAAAGTAGGATACACTTAGTGGCATCACTGAGGAAACCTGTGTGGAAGAACATTGGAAATCTCTGAAAGCGCTATTTAAGGAAACGTGCACAACTGTTCTAGGAAGAAGGAAGGGACAAGACAAGGAATGACTCTCGAAGGACACCTACCTGGTAGCTAATCGAGGAGAGGAGGATGGTGAAAGAGAAGATGACTCAATGCAAAGATGAGCAAGAGAGGGAAGGGGAAGCTGAGTTCAATGTACACTGCACTGAATAAAGAAGTGAAGTGTACTAGGAACGACAGAAGACAACTACACGAAACACTGACCGGCAACTGAAGCAGAACAGGCACGTCACAGGTAAAAGAGGCCCCAGAATATTATATTAGATAACCAGGCTGCTCGTTATCCGGGAAGAGATCAACCTAGATGATGAGACCGATAAAATATATTCAAGGGGACTTGATTACCAAGGAGGAGAAACAAATAAAACAATTGGCTGACCACTTTAGAGGACTCTTGAATCGCCCACCACCAGCAATCGTCCAGAAACACCATCACGATCAGCTCTAATAGAACTGCCAGCGGATGCCGATCCTTCAAAGATAGCAAGAATCGTGAATGTGACTAAGCTACTAAATAGCGACAGAGAAGCCAGCCGCGCCAGATAGAATTCCTCCACACCGAATCACTGGAGACGGACCCAGAGACTGCGGCAGATGTCCTCATGCCATTATTGCGAAAGGTTTGGAAGGAAATGAATGTGCCTACTGATTGGACGAAAGACTGACTACCTTGTCAGGCCAACAAAGAAGGGCGACCTAGTCAGATCTCTGAAAGAACTGGCGTGGAATAATACACTTGCCAACGACAAGGAAAATACTTTATCGTGTCAACCTGGAGAGAATAAAAGATATATTGAATGCAAATCCACCCCACACACCCACACACAAACACAGAACAAGCTGGAGTCAGGAAAGGAAAATCACGTGCTGATCAAATTACAACTCTACCCATCATCGTCGAACAAAGCACAGAATGTCAGTCAAACTCTACCTTAACTTCGTCGACTTTGAAAAGGCTTTCGACAGACAGTGTTGACAGAGAAGTAATTTCGAAACTGCTTCAACACTACAACATGCAGTCCCCAAATCTGTATCAACCCAATTCAATAGCTGGCTATATGACAATGCCACGTGTCAACTGATCAGCAACGGAAAACTCAGCGAGGCGTTCGAAGTGAATACAGAAGTAAGACAAGCTGGCTGCCTATTATCACCAACGATGCTATTCTAAATTGTGGTCGACTGGATTGTGCGTCAGACTGTACGTTGGGAGTGAGAAGACAGGAATACACTGGACCACCGATAAGAAGACTGACTCTAGAAGATCTGGATTTGGCGTCTGGATGATTTATGTCTAATGTCACATAAACTCGAAGACTTGCAGGAGAAAACTGACAAATCGGCTGAAGAGACTGGCAGCGAAGACAGGACTCCAGGTGGACATAGAGGAGACAGAGGTGATGACGATAACCAACCAACATTAACAACAACAACAACAACCAGCACCAACTACCATCATCAACGGGACAGATTTGAAAGAGGTCACTTCCTCCACTTACCCAGCTAGGAAGCACCGTTTCAACCACAGGTGGAAGAACGGATGAAGATGTCAAAGCAGGCCAGAGTCCGAAAGGCAAGATGCGCCTTCATCAACCTGAAACCAGTTTGGAAATCTTATGCACTCTACTCGTCTCAGAATAAGGAATAGGATTCGAATTCTCAACACAAATGTCAAGTCGGTCACTTCTTCTATGTGGGTAAGAAGAAATTTGCACTGCGTGTCACGAAAAGGATTTCCAACAAGTTACAGACTTTCATCAACAGCTGTCCGCTTCGCTGGCTCCATACTGAAAGTCAAATGACCAGCCGGCCAGAAAGAATTACCAACAATAAACTCTGGCTGGGAACAAGCCAACCAAGAGCGGATCACTCAACAAATAAGTAGGAGAAGATGGAGAAGAAACATGCATACGTTGAGGAGACCGTCAAATGACATCGCGCGCCAGTCCATCGCTCGAATGAAATCCAAACGGTAAGCGACGATTGGGTCGTCCTAGGGTGACATGGAGGAGACTGTGAGAACAGGAGATGAGAGATTACGGGCAAACGTGGGCCCAGCTGGAGAGGACAGTGCCAAATAGGAGAAAGGGGAGATGTGTTCTTGATGCCCTATGTTCCACTCGGAACCCAAGGGAATAATAATAATAAATGCCATGTTTTAATTCTTACTTCTGTAATGAGGTTAGATGCAATACTGCACTACATGCTGAAAATTTTAAATTTACCAAAAGTACTGTTTGGAATAGAACTATTATTAGTATTGCTCACAGTCGACAACTAACTTAGTCCTATTTGATTAATAGTAATATGATACCAAAAGACGTTTGTCTTCGAAATACTCACCCTGCGCTCGGTTATATCGTACACTCTATGTGATCTTGTGCATATGCGATACTTCTGTTTGCTGGTTTGGCCCTTAGGATTACAGCATAAGGCATAACCACAATTCCCGTATGCATTTCGTTCGACAGCAATATCGTCATATTGCTCACGCTCCAACCACGGTAACTAAAGTTGATTCGAAACAAAACACCAATAAAAAGATCGGATAAATTCTTAACCTAATTGCAATCAGATAATAATAACCGTTTAAACTACAATATTAAAATTCGTTACACTTCTACTAGCTGACTGACTGGTGTTCAATATAGAACTTAACACAAAAGTGTGGCAGCTCAAGTTACCACACTCCATCCAACACACAAACGGTAGACAAAACGCAGTAAATAAAGAGGTTCAAGAAACTATAATAAGCTGAAAATATTGGGAGAGAAAGACTAGTAACACGGAAAAACTGACGACTTAGTGGATATGGAACATCAGAAAGAGTGAATACATATAATCTATTGAGAACGACTAAGGGCCATATCACCAATTGTCTCCAGCCATTGGTTCTTAGAATCTAGAGGACCTCAACCAAGAAGTTTAAGCCTTGCTATGTGATTCATACTAATTGTCAAAGATTTCATGGACTGATCCCAAATCTCGGTTTGACCTGCACTAGTTCTTTCCTAGCCTACGTCACCGAACATTGCGCGTTGAGGTAGGCGGTAGCTCAGTATATGCAACACATTTTTTAGCCACTTCAGTCAATTCACCTTCACAATTTCATCGATTATTGTGAACAAGGTAAGGACAACAAATTGAGCGAAATAAAATGATCCCATAGAATTCGTCACATTTTTCTTTTTACACACCCTGGTCGCCGACCTCACTGCTAAGAACAACATTCAATATCGCGTGTTTTCGATAATCACATTTTTTATTTAGACTCTCGAGTTCCAAACGAAAGGAATAGGTGTATGCTAAACCATTTACTGAAAATCGTCACAAATACTATATGGTATTTTATACGTCTTTGACGAAAGTGCCACTAAATTCCAGCTTTCCTGATAAACGCAAGTGTGGATAAGTTAGACAGAAGAAGATAAAATTCATGAGAATCGAGAAGTAAAACTGTTTAACTTACGGCACATGCTAACATAGTGACACTAACAGGATTGCGTGCAAATCTTTCAACTATGAGCAAAGCTTGACGAAGAAATAACGCTTGCCTTTTTCTTGTTTCAATCCAATCTTTCTCCAAGCCTTTAAAAGGTGCAGGGACAGAAGGAACCTCAAAACCATCATCAACGTCTGAAGACATTAATGTCAACAAACTGCAAATTAAAAAGGTACAATGACTGTAGACACTGTAACAAAACAAGAAAGACACGATAAAGAAGTAGTATATTCTACAAAACATTACAAGATAATAGAAAAAAGATGATAGAAATCATAAAGTAATCAGTATTAAAAAAATACTTTAGTGTTGCGATTCTCGATATAAAACACGCACCAGTAAAGAACAGTCAGTACACTCAGCATACGGAGCTCGACACAACACAGCAACTTCTTCTAAGATATAATTTCCACCACAACGACAAGGGAACCAATATATACTACACTTCTGATCATTAGATTCAAAATTTATATCAGTGTCATGTATGGGTTCAGAGTGAAATTCATCAAATGGTATATCATTTTGTACAGGTAACCCAGCAGACATTGACATTAGCTTATTTTGTCTCAATAAAGCATCATAAGTTTTACGTTTTTCGGGGCAGCGTAGAACACTCCATGCCTTTTCTATAAGCATAAATTCTTTTTCTAAAATACCTGCATTTTTATCAGGATGAAATCTAAGTCGAGCCCGATTAACAAGTTGTTTAATTTCATTATCGGTGGCTTCCATTGTACAGTCTAAGATTTTATAAAAATCCTCCATCCATTCTACAAAAAGACAATCAATTGTAGATGAATTAATCGCACACAATAAAAATAAAAAGAAGGAATTGATTTCAATAATTTATTGTTGATATATATATATATATATATATATATATATATATATATATATATATATATATATATAAAGTGTATACATATGTACAGCTGTATTACAGTAAATCTCAATCACTCTCTTCATCAGAATCACAATACTCTGGAGCTTCGGGTTTTGCCCAATTCGGTTCAGCTGATTGTGGAAGTTTTACTTTGCCAGTAAGATCACACTCTATTTCAGTAGTCTTGTTGAGCTGATCAGTACCATTACTTATTTCTTCTGTACACACTGATGAAGAATGACAACACGACTGGTTGTGACTTTTTTCGTCTTTTTCTTCTTCTTGATCACTTTCACTGAAATCTGAGTGCTTTTTCTTCTTCTTCTCCTTCATTGCAGCAATACGTGATAATAAATTCTTAGCAAATTTGAAAAATCCTTTAGTATCTGTAGTGCATGCATAACATCGTGCAGTTTTCTTATATCGTTTCAGAGCACAATCACTACAAAAATAATGTTTACAACTGAGAGAAATTCGACAGTAGAATTGTAACTTACATAGTTACAACCGGATCTTTATAATCTTTGCGGCATATCATACAAATTAAAGGAATGTCTTCTACTACTTCTTCGTCAGAAGAATTATGAACAATTTCATAACGATTATCTTCACCATCAATTCCATAGACTCCTTCAGCTAACTCCTGTTCTATTTGCCAACCATGCTTATAATCTGATCTATCGTGAAGAAATTTGCAGCTGTCACCAAAACTACAAAATCCTGTTTCTTTATAATCCTAAAATAAAATAAGCATCTTTAAAGGCCTAAAGAACACAGTGTACAAACTTTACAAACATCCGGTTGATAATCCCATCTAACAGTAGCTCTTAAATTTGCTGGAGCTCGCATAGGACCTTTACGATTAAAACCACTTGATGCATTCCCCATAACAGTATCTTTCTTTTCAATGTACTGAGCATAGTTATTCATCCCCTTGTATGAATTACGATCTTGAGAATCCTACAAAACATATATTATATAAGATAATGAAATAAAGCAAAAAAAAACATGCCTTATTTAATTTCTGAGAACGCTCAAATATAGACTGGGCATCACACTTGATGTCTGTATCAATCTCCAAGGTGGCGGCTGCTATTTGATCTTTTGTAACCCTTGATTCCTGGAAGGTGTTAGAAATAAAAAAAGATTTACCTTGGAATGTGAAGCTTTATATGTGACTGTTTCAAGAGCACTTTTTCTACCAGCATTATCGTTGTCATCATCATCATCCGATGAACATTTCTTATTATTGCCAAATTTTGAAGTCTGAAAGTGGTGTAAATAATTGTTTTCAAATAATAACGAACCTGTTGATATAACATATTATTGATATGACTTCTTTTCTTAGTCTTAATAACTGCTTCATCTTCACTGGATGAACCTTTTGAAAATGTTGAAATGTTTTTATTTGTTTTAAATTCATACTTTCTTTTTGTCGCACATTTTTGCGACTACGTTTTTTAAAGAAGATACAACTCTCGCTTGAGTTTTCGGTCATAGTTTAATTTCTGGAAAAAAAAGAGAAATTCAAAGAAAAGGTTTTACTAAAAACCAACTATTATTTACTGGCACAGTAACAAAACTGGTTTGCTTGATTTTAATATGAAATCCCAATAGATGAAACCACAGTTTACATTATAGTTTAGGCCGATTAATGATAGTAACGTTTGCATATGGTATAACCTGATTGTCGAAATCACAGTCTTAGTGTACAATTTCCTTTCCTGAAACTAACAAATTGAACACAATGCATGCATAAAAGCGACCCCCTCTCATATCAACCAATGACTATTGCCGAATTAGTTTTACAACAACACATTTTAAGACTGCTTTTCTGAAATAGAAATTACGACATCCACGATCTATAGTATGCTGTTTGATTAGCTGATAGTGTCTTTCCAATTTCAACTAAATGGATGCTAAACTGTTTGACATCTAAATTTCACAGTTAAAACGATTTCTAGCTGCACTAATCCTGGTGACAGATCTAATTATCTAGCCAGCTCTATACTATAAAATAAAATCAATTAGCTTATGAAAAGAAACCATCTCAAAGACCAAGATTATAACATGTATAAGTAATAAGTAAGGCACTTGGAGGAGAGAAAATGACTTAGTGGTGTTTAAGTTCGACTAATTAAACACAAACCAGCATGAAATGGATGTCGGAAAATGAATCACACAGTGATCAAACCAACAACTTTCAATGGTGAAAGAAAGCACTTTGATACAGCATAGCTCCACAACAGAATAATTTTATTCGATATAACACAGTGAAATAATAGCATCTTCTGATCATATCTACATAGTGGTGCGCTTCACTGTAAGATACACAAAAGAAAACAATTAGCAACTGCTTATTACTCGCCAAGTATTCATTGAAGGAGTGAATAAACCGTTTATCTACTTTTTAAACTAAGATGAAATTCCTAAATCAATAACTTGATGATTGCTTCACGGGTACTCACAACAGTTATGTATGAAGCGACACGAATCCACGAAATAGGTTAGCATTATTAGATGAGAGCCAAATGCCACTGCAACCCACAAGCAATAAAATTTGGTCTATTAATTGCTCTGCTGAAATTCTAGAAGTGTTATTAGCTAAAAGCAATACTTCTCCCTGGAGGCATTCAGATAAGTCTATTTGTCTATATATTGCATAAGACGTAAAGTAGTCCTGTATCAAAATTCCAATCTGAAACGCTGAATAGTGCAGTGAAACTATACCAAACTCAATCCTGTAGTCTTATCTTGATTCTAGAGGTGGTAGGGCTACACTCTTAGTTACTTTGAAAATTAATATTAAGTGGAACTAGTAATATTCCTCTATACACAACTTGTAAGATGACACGTCCTGTTACTCCTTTGTCTCACACCTCTGCTCACTGTCTCTATTATGCTTTTCTTGTACTTTCTTCTCTTGCTTCGCGTGCTACACGGAGTGTGGCGACTTGAACTTCCGCACATTTGTGCAAAGTTCTATGTCGAAAACAGACAGACAGACAGACGTCCTGTTATAACGCATTTGAAAGTACCATCTGACTTCGTACTGTTGTGGCAACAACAATGGAGAAGACACCAAGGTACATTGGAGTGATCAGCATAGCGTTGATGAATGCTTCTTTCGCCTGATTCGACATTTGAGACTTTTTGGGTCGCATTTGAGAAGATAGGTCAGAAGTTGTACAATGGAGGCATATGAAGGGATAAAACGTCGATAGAAGTTAAACATCCCCAAGAAACGTCTGACCTTTTTGAGTGATTCTGGTTAGGGGAAATTTTTGATGGTCTCTACCTTTACCACCGTAGGCCTAATACCATTTTTCGTTATGTGTTGTCCCAGAAATCGTGCAGAGGAGGCACCGAATATGCACTTCTTGGAATTAGTGGCGACACTATATTTCTTTGAACTCTGAAATATGATGGTAAGGTGATTTGTATGTTCTTCAACCACTAGGCTGGCAATTAAAACGTCATCGATGTATACAAATACAAAATCCAAGCTATGTGTGACCTGATTCATGAAACGTTGGAAAGATTCTTTGGCATTCTTTAAACCGAACGGCATGTGTAGAAATCCGAACAAACCAAAAGGTATTATGATGGCTGTTTTTCCAATATCTTATGGAGCGGCTGGTATTTCATGATTTTCTGACCAAATCCACTTTCGAAAAAATGGTTTTACCATGTAACGTTAAGGAGAATTAATGTAGGTGGGACATCGGATAACAGTCCGGAGCTGTGGCGTTGTTCAAATGCCGATAATTCCCACATGGTCTCAAGTCATACTCGGTTTTAGGCACCATGTGTAAGGGTGAGAAGGTCTGATGATGCCGAGCTGTATCATCTATTCAGATTCTGACTTAGCTGCTGCTAAATTGTCAGGTGGTAGTCTCGAACAGGTTGACCAGCGGTAACAATTTTGTGAATGTATGTGATACATCCTCGATGTTATACGACGGTTTAAGTATACTAGGCGAACTGTGAAATAGAGCAGAAAAGTGCAGTCTGCTGGTCTCCCGATGCAGATGTTATGGACGGAGTAACTGAAGATTATTCCATGAATTTCTAGTTGGGTGCTGTTATCAATCAGATTTTAATATTGATATCAACTAACAGATTGAAGTTACTGAAGGAATCAGCCCCGAGTATGGCGTAACCCACGTCGGCTACTATAAAAATCCATGTGAAACGAGGGCATAAGCCTAAATCAAATATAAGAGATTGTTCACCGTATATCTGTATGCTTGTGTGGTTGGCTGCACGAAGAGACAGTTTTCCTGGTGTCCGAGTAAATCGCCTTGATAGTGAAGGAGGGATCACGCTAACTTCAGCTCCTGTGTCTACCAGGAATAGGGTGACTGAAGTCTTACCCTTCATACAAAAAGGCGACTTGTTTGCTTGCCAGTAACAGCTGTCGCCATCATTTTCTGGCCGAAGAGTTTCCCTGAGCCTGGTTATCTTCACTGAAAATGCACGATTTGACACATTTTAGGGTATGACGTTCGAACTTCCTCTGGTACCAACATATATCACCGTCCCTAGAAGAAGTGCAGGGACACTGTCAGGAGAGAGATAGTGGTCGTGATGGCATTTATTGTGGCCTGTGTCTTGTTTCCAGTCTTCTGCTCAGGTCGTGTACCTGGCTGAGCAGGTGACGACATTATAGGTATGAAAATATTGGTGCGAGGGGACAAACAGATATGGAACCATAAATAGAATAACAATAATACTACAAAATGGCAAAATCCTACGTAGAAATGTAAACATAATCCGTGTTGAAACAGGCTTGTCAATTAAATGTTGCGAACTAAACCGCTGAGCTCGTTTATATGCGAATAAAAAGGACAAAACAAATACACACTTCTGTGTTTAGAGAGGAATTCAGTCCTTATAAATTAATATGCATATAAATTACGGTTACTCTCAAAATACACCAGACTTATAGAATTGCAGTGATAAAGTAATCTTTTTTTGGTATGCACTGCCTCAAACCAAGCAAGAGTATGACAACACCCCGACGGTACTTGAGAGAAAAGGGGACCCAAACAAAGGATCTGGATGTGAATATACGGATCAGGTACAAGCAAGTGATGACTGGCAGTAGTGGAAAGCAAGAAGCTAGAGCGGGAAGATGAGACGTACGTACTGCGCGCTGAACCAGGTCGTGTCCTTATTCAATCTCAGTTAACAGCCATGATGTGCAGTGAATTCCTTATTTTACTATTTTGTAACGAACGTACAGTTAGATATCTTTCGACCTCCACAAGTTAGACAGCAAGAGGAACGAAACTTTCTACAATTTAAAAATACGTTGCCGGTTCATTTAGAGGAAGTGTCTTCACGGAGAAGGAAAATGTCAACCAATGCCCGAAACGTCGTCCAGCAGATAATACTGTTTCATTGTGTGATACACCTAACAACCAAACTAATATCGGGGCACTCGCCCACCCCCAACCAACTACATACTCAGCTTGTTTATAAAACACATAAGCTCCCCTTTACGACAAAGTCATCAAACGACTACACAGCAAACTCCCGATTCACAACTAGTTTTTACTGTGCTTAAGTCGACAAACATCTGGTGTTGATACTGAAAATTTAATTGAAATATACAGACACCTTTGTCGAGCCATTTCCTCTGCGATTTCGTCCAAGTAATTTAATTGCTGATTGATGTTTTCCTCGAAAGACGTTTTCCGGTGTCTCTTACATTCATAACCACACTAAAGTTTCCCTGCGTGACCCATAAAGACACCTTATACAGACTCCCTTTTTAGAAGTACAGCCAGTCATACGTCGAAACCACTAAGTTACGCCAACTTCACATTTGGCCTGTGTTATAAAAAGTTCTGGAAAAAAAGAAAGTACTTTCACATATCATAACCTAGGTTACTTCCACAGAGAAATATACTTATAGGGTGAAATTAAGCAATTAAAATACAATATCTTTATAGAAAAAAATTTGGAAACTCAAAACTTACGCACAAATTTAAAATTGGCACTGTTTTTAGCATTTGCCAGGCACTGACATGTAGGTAACAACCACCCTCAAAATCTAACGTAACGTCCTACTTGAAAACAACCGGCCTAAATCCCATAGCCACACTTTATCTTAGCTGCGTTTTCCGGCTGAATTTATGTATCGTGTTCTGTTAAAATTTCGCTTGGAAATTTTTTCTATCATTACGTTTTAATAAAACTCCGTTATATGTTATCTGGATTGGTGAGGGTTCCCATTTTCTGGCTAGCTATGTTGGTGTCCACGTCATGTTATCTGACTGACACACTCATAACATATAGGTTGCAACGATTAGTGTTTCAGGCGGACTGTATCAAAATATTGGTGTAATGAGGAAGATAAGGTATTTGGAGGGTAATGCCATTTACACAATTCGTTTACTCCGTGTAGAAGCATAATATTATTCAATGGAGACTCCGAAGACATGATCATGTCTTAGGATATCAATACAGCCTATTTTCGTGTGAAAAACTGTACTTTTTGACAAAAGAATTCTATCAGTACTTGGAAATTACTCACAAATGCTAACACAACCTTCTGTGGGAAGAGAAGTTACCATGTAGATGTTCTTGTCAATTTGTCCGTGGTTGGACAGGAATTATCGTAAGTTAAAAGGTTATATTTAAGTGTATTTAATATATATGTACACTGATTGGTGCACTGCAACATGGATTATGTGGATTCAATACATAAAAATATCTCTACCTTATTAATATTGTGTCATTGTATGTTTAGCTAACTGATAGGATAACAAATGTAGGTGTTTTTCATGATTGTTGCAAGTGCAGTTGAGTGGAGAAGGCGATTACTCGTTTAAATTTCCGCACTGTTTCACTCAGTGCACTAGTTCAGTATATGGTATTATTATACACTTTGATTGTGTTGATCATGAGAAATGAATCCAGTTAGCTCTATTATTACTGATCTACCGTCTATTATGCCATTCCCAATCACACTGTATACTTAATGCCCCAGTATTTTTGGTCACCAGTAGTAGAGATGAATTTCTCCTGAAATTTCCATTAACATGAAGCAGTACAGATGTAGTGTCACCATTGAATGTCTAGGTTGCATTATAATATGACATTGTCATCCTCATCAAGACAATATGTCTGCATATCCTACAATATTCTAGGTTCTTATCTATGCTGCAGCAACATGTTAACAATTTCCATAGCTCTTTAAAGTTGAGCGACTTTATTGCATATCCCCTCAGTGACGCTGGTTGCCATGTTGCTATTGGTTTCAAGTGGCCTTGGTTTTGGGGGAAGATTTAATTGATGTAATATTGCGATTTCGTAGACATAACTCAGGCTCATAGGTAAAAATTTATAATCCTGGAATAAGGACAAGTTGTTCAGAAGGTAAGGAGGACATTATTTTTCAGTTTATTTGTATATATACTATTGTGTATCGAGCTGCGTTGAGTTCTTAGTGCAACTGTATGTAACTGCATTTACATAAAGTAAAACATTACGAATGCTCCTGTTTTTAAAATAAAAAACATAATTCTTTTCATTAAGTGTAGTAATGAAGAATGGAATTTCTTCCACGTCAGTGGTATTTAATTGAAGAATTAATCTCTGTAGGCCCTTGAAGGAATAAATTCGGCACGGAGAACTCCTGTGGAAACCGAAAGCACTTTTAGTTTACTAAATCTTACTGACTTCCTGCATAAATTTGATCTGTCAAGTGTTTATGTAAAGTCTGCTGGTGTATTCAGTAAAGTAAAAGTTGTAGTGCATAACTCCTAGACTTGTTGTAGTCATTGCTATTCCCAGGATACTACTTACTCGTTTTATGCAGCCGAAATATTCAATTCTCACTTTATTGAGGAAATACTATAGTGCCTGCAAAAGTAGTGCGTCAGTTTACGAGTTTCATTAAGCCAACAGAATGTTTTCTATTCACTGAATACTGTTTGCGAATTATCCGAGAAAACACATTTCCGAGTGGGATGTAATACAAGGCTGAATTCTTAAACTGTCATCCTTATATCAGTTCAATTCAATCACACATATATTAATAGGATAGTCTGTAATTGACTTTAGAGACTTATCAGGGAATAGTCTCATCAACTTACGGTTTGCTGATGATATTGTCCACCTAGACTATGAGAAGTAACTTCTGATGCTGTAAAATATGAAAATAATACCGGTGTTTGATTATAGGTGTCCGCGTTCTATCTCATGAGTAAAGCAGTATAATATGGCGAGTGCTGTTGAGGTTACGCATAAATGTTTAGGTGGGGAGGGTTAGTCTTCAAGGTAGGGAAGCTGAATAGGTTGAGATGGCTAGAACACGTGATGGCATACAAAGCCATCGCCTTTCTCCAGGGACAATGCTAGCCAGCACATGTTAAGGTTTAAAATGTGTTTGGGTCGGTCAAATGAAAAAGTGATATTGGTTCATAAAATTGTTGACAGTCAGCTGGAAGAACTACCGGAGATGTGACTGCAAATCTTTGGCACTGGTACACCTGCATTCACTCTGTGTAATCTTACGTATCTATTCAACTCATGTTTTTCCTTGTCACTATTTATTCTCCCTCACATTTTCGCTCGTTAAACTTCCATTTAGTTTTATGTCTCTACCTACGTGTGCTACATGGAATGTGGTAAATTAAACAGGTGGACTTCTCTTCAAACTCATACTGAAAGCTAGTCAGAATGACACAGTCTGGGCATAACTAAATGCGAAACATTGATAAATGATCTCCAAAATTTCAACAAATGATAAGTGTAGTTCTTAATCTTGTTCTTCGCCAAATGAAAAATAGATACCTTTCAGTAATCTCTTCTTCCACCCGGGACTCGTCTCCTACTTTGCAACTGGATTTGTGCTTTATCACTTTTGTGCTTAGCTTTCGGTCATTCAGCATTCGCCGTTGTTGTTGACTCAGCACCTAGATGACTTTAGTTGAATAAGGTTTCGATCGTGCAAACTTGGGTCCTGGGCAGTTGATTGGTTGCATTATCATTTCTCAAATGGAATGCAGCATACTGTATATTAGGGTAAATCTTCCGCCTCGTTTGCTGAAGCTGGTGTTCCTCGGGTTATTTTTATCACTCCTTTTCTCTTTTCTCTCTCGTCTTACATGACTTTTCTCCTTCTAATCAGAGCGACTTCGTCAAATACACTGGTGATCTGACCGTCTCACTTCGTGTCATGTTACAATGTGACTGCAGCAAACTTAACTGGTTCCTGTCTGTAGTCTAAGGTACGTGGTCTTGCGTTAAATCCCTCTAAATGTCAGGCAGTTAACTTTCCCCTCACTCATAAGCGTGAACTGCAAGAACTGTGTCGTTCACAAGATGTTTGTATCAAAGAGGGCACTGAAACAGAAACTAAGTCTAACAGAAAATACCTTGGGGTAAATCTATCCTCTGATCTTTCTCGGTCATTCTACATCTTGTCGATTTCTAAGAAAACCTTCAGTCTAGCTTACCATGTTATGTATTCAAGACAGTCAGGAATCATTCAACCTGTCTTTCTACAACTTGTTAACACTTGCATTGGTCTTTACTGCTCCCCCTTATTCTTTCCTGAATTACTCAAAAACGACTATGTCGTATTGTGCAAGGTATTAAGGTCGTCATTAGGGCAAGTGGTGTACCATTTAGTCAACTCGTTAATGCATTAGTTACAAGACATCTAAACTCATGTGAGAAATGGTCTAAATCTATACTGTCTAACCCTCAACATCCCCTCTATTCTCGGCTCTTCCCTTTAATTTCATCTGATGGAACCAGAAGTCGGAATAAAAGATTATGTGATCGTTTTTGGAATTAAGTAATACCAAAAATTGTTGTCGTTTTCATTGTCAGCAGTTCACAGCCTATTGAGTTTACGCAAGTGGAATGCTCATTTCCTACTTTCCTGAAGAGACATCAACTAGGATTCTAGGAAAGTAGTACGTCAGTATGCGAATTTCATGAATCTGTAGACTGCATTCCATTCACTTACTACTGAAACTAAACTATGAAGGAACTGATATTTTAAAGAAGGATGTAGTACAAGGCTCATTTCTACAACTGTCGTCCTTATTTTAGTTCAATTTCATCATAAATGTATTAACAAAATTGTCTGTTACTCGCTTTAGACCCTTACCAGGGAACAGTCTTGTCAACTTAGTGTATGCTGATGGTATTGTCCATTTAGGCTGCGATAAGTGATCATTGAAACTGGAAGATATGAAATCGGAGACATAGAAATGTCAGCAGATGATAGTATTGACGTGCATCCTTTGCACACTGGCACGAGTGCCAAACCCTCGAAAACAGCTAAGCTGAATTCAGTCGTACACTTTGAATCTCTCCGGAAGTCATATACCGCACAACCTCTTAGCCCGGCTACTGTAAAGCAGCAATAACATGTGGCCACCCAGGTAGACGTAAATTCAAGGCTATATGATAAACGTCCTATTTCTGTAAGGAACATCAAAAGAACTGTTGAGACTATTCAACAGAAATCCAGTTTAATAGGAAACCCTACTAGTCACCAGCAGCCCAAATTACACAAGCCGACTAATACGGAAAAAGCTAAACCAAATTTAGACCCGGAACACTAAAGCCCATAAGTGCGAAAGTTTCAAAAGGGTCACTGGCTCATTCCACAGATGGAAAATCATCTAAACATAGTTGTCAGCAAAGTCTCATAAACCGTTAATGCCCAGCTCTCGCTACGCTCGGGCCCACGCTGTTCTTAGAAGATTTCTCAGAAACGCTTAGTTATAACGGACGCAAAAACCAAAACACCGATCTGCCGTTTGATATTTGTTTATTGTTACACCAACATATAAAAGGAATAAGCGAACTAAGCAAACTAAGGTCTGAAAACAAATATTACAATAATAAATCTCTGTATTACTTCTGACGATGTTTCAATCTTCTTTCTGAACAGCGACCGATGAGACGATGACTGTCGTATTGATGCTTCCGCGAAAATTGGGGAAGTTGATTTTAAGCAAACAACCAAGAATTGATCGTTCAATCTTCAACTCCATTGACACTCCCCGGCAAAAAAGGGATCCATCCCTTTTTTCCTTCACGACCAATGCAC